ATCCATATGAAAAGACACATCTTTTCATCTACATTCTCTAGAATATTCCACAATATTCTACACAATTCCAATAATTTCAAGTATTAAGTGGTTTAAGTTTGGCTTAATTTCTCATTCACCAAACAAGGAATTTCCACTTAAATCATTTCAATTAGTCACAACCACTTTCCAATACAAAATTCCGACAGAAGCAACCATTCATCGGCCAAAGTGTATGTCGTGGAATTTATGTATTTGTTTATTTTCAGTAAGCAAACTAGAATTTGTAAATTTAAACTCATTCAATCCCTTAAAGAGATCAGATCAGTTTGAAAGATATAAAGAATAATTTCCTTAGACCGAACACAATTTCAAGGGCCGTTTCACGAATTTCTTTTGAACAATGAGATAGGTTGTCAAAATTAGTGTTGATCAACTTGTAGAAAATTATGTTTAAGGTTTCATAATAATTAGTCGTCTAGGGCTTCAAAATTACTAGGGTTGGCCCTGCTAACCACTATCTAATTCATGTAAATTCTAACCATAAAAAGAGAACGCGCCTAATACCCATAATTTTCAAGAAATATTTACCATCTTTAAACATCTCTAAGAAATTACGTAATTTAAAGAAAGAAAATTCTATTCTGATCCTTCTAATGCATGAAAATGAAAAAGACAGGTGAGAATACTTGGAATTTCCCAGAAAGTGTCCACAAATTTTCATGCTCTTTAAGCGAAATGATCACTGAATTTCCCTACTTTTTTAAAGCAATATATTTGACGTTGATAATTTATATTTTCAACTCCAAGTCCTTCTAAATTATTTATATTTTGTTAAATGTGTATGACCCCATTGTCAATAAATTTATGTTATCTTTTCATCCATTTAGGCACCTACACATTATGACACCATAGGAATGCAAGGTCATCATATCAAGGATGATTCAACGACTATTTGCACTCCAGCTCTCATGTCGGTTATCAAAAATAAATGGATGAACGTTTGGCCGAATTTTAGCTATTGCATACCTTTTGTTTGTGCAGTTGTATTTATAGGAAATTTGGATCAGGACAATTTTGAAATTTCGATCACTGTATTGACTAGTTTGCACTTTATCAACAAGGCACCGTCACTATCTCAAACGTATTTTTCATTTCGCGTCTTTTGAAGATGTGGGGAACTTGAAAGCGTGCCCCATACTATAGAATTAGCTTAAGAACTATCTTAGTCAATAATGTTTTTATGAAGTGCAATGACACCAACAAATTTTAGAAAGAGTTTTGGTGGACCCAAATCGACATCATTAAATTATTTCATTTTTTGTCTTACTTTTATCTATTTATTTTTGACGCCTGAAAACTCAAATCAAGATTTTTTTTACGAGGTGATGAGTTAGAGGGTGTTTGTTGGAGATTAAAATTAGGTTTTTAGTGGATTGTGATAAAAAATTTTGAAACGTGTGGTTGAAAAGATGTGGTTACTATTGATTGTTTGACTTTGACTAAATTCAGATTTTAAACTGACCCAAATATGCCCTTAGAAATTTCCAAATTTGATGACTAGATGTACAAATTTAAAAGTTCAAAGAACAAAATACCATTCAAATAAAAGTTGGAAGACCAATGGTGCAATAATCCGTCGTTGAAACAGTCGACCATATCAACGTCATCCACCGCGTACAAAACCCACTTTCCCTTCCAAGAGAGTCGAGCATTTATATAGCGAAAACCCCATCACACAATCAAGAATCGCATTCAAGATGTACGGGTTCTCTGGCGTCGATGACATGAAGGGTAACATAGACATTGAGGCCGGTGATGGGATGCTGTATCCCGGAATCGGTTATGGCGAGAATCAGCTCCGATGGGGTTTCATCCGCAAAGTCTACGGTATTGTTAATAACCCTCTCGTCTAAAACTTTAGCTATCTATTAGAGATGGATGGGTATTCATAAAGATCATTGTCTCGATTAGGTATTTTGGCGGCCCAGATCCTCCTCACCACTGTTGTCTCTGCCGTGATTGTTCTTTACGCCCCCATCAATGACCTGCTTCGTGGAAATTCTGGGCTTTTGCTCTTCCTCCTCTTCACCCCCTTCATCCGTAAGCACATTATATATCCTCAAAGTTGTTTTTACAATTACATATACATACATGTAGTCACACCTGTATACTGGAGTGGGCAGGAAAATAAACAAGTATTTCAGGCAATTCCAGGCTCTTGTTCTTCATTTTTACCAACAAGATATGCATACGAATAAAGATACATACAATTATGTTATTTATTAAACGTGTGATATTTTTTTTATTTTTTTTCAAAGCAATCAAATAAAAAAATATAATTTAAGATTTGTGATCCCATCAGTGCGCCAACATCTATCGCCTGTGGTTTGTAATCTTGATTTTTGCTCTTCATTATTTTGATGTGTGCGCCATTGCTGTTATTGTTTACTCCGTTTCTCTCCCTCCCATCTTAAGACACTCTTTCCAGAAGCATTTTTCCGGATTTATCATCACATTTGTAGTTTCTATAGATGCTTGACCATACAGAACGTCAACTGCAGGTTTTATGTGAAATAAGATTGTATTTATGAGCATTTTGACTATAAAATGTGATCATTTTGGGGTAATGGAAGAATGGGGTTCTTCGATTCACAAATCTTGATCTTGATAAGGGGACAAGTTTTCATAATGATTTACTGGAAAAAAATCTGTGAAAGTCAAAACTCAATGCTGTTTCATGGATGGCGAAAAGGTTTATATTTTAGTGTTTTTTTTTTTTTTGTTTATATATATATATATAGCTGTGAAATTCAACCAAGGTCGTCCATTCCCATGCATGCTAAGTCCAAGTGTGAAGTCTTCATTTTTGTATGTGTTGCTTGATGCACAATAGCATCATGACACACATGCTACAGCCTTTCCTGTGTAATTGTTTTCATAATTTCAGTGCAGTTGTTGATTTCCGGATATTTTGGGCATGGTAACGTCATTTTGCGATCAAAAGTTTTGGTCCATAATGTGCTCTATGAACAACTTTTTACATTCTGTTCTTGGATTCCTAGATTTTTTTTTTTACATTATTTTAAATGCATTATACATGACTGACTTCGGTTATTATAATTACTAACTCGTACATTAATCCATCATTATATTATAAATCTTTTTCGATGCGGTTACAATGTTTACTTTTGTAGGTTACTATTCTGCATATGATCTGTTTTCTCTTTGTGGATAACTAGACATATGT